GAATGATAGACTAATGACTATTAAATTGGTGGTGGATGAGTGTACTTTAAATGTCGTTAGCGCGTACGCACCGCAAGTAGGCTTGGATGTGGAGATTAAAAGGCATTTTTGGGAGGGGTTGGATGACATCGTTCGTAGTATTCCTCCTTTGGAGAGGTTATTCATAGGAGGAGATTTCAATGGTCATATTGGGTCATCTGCAGTTGGTTATACTGAGGTGCATGGCGGCTTTGGTGTCGGGGAGCGAAACGGAGGGGGCACTTCGTTGTTGGACTTTGCCAAGGCATTCGATCTAGTGATTGCGAACTCAAGTTTTTCGAAGCGGGATGAACATTTGGTCACTTACAAAAGTTCGATGGCGAAGACTCAGATTGACTATCTCCTCCTCAGGAGATGCGATAGAAGGTTGTGCGAGGATTGCAAAGTTATCCCAGGTGAGACCCTAGCAACGCAACATAGGCTTTTTGTGATGGACATTGGTATTAGGATAAGGAGGAAGAAGAGGTCAGTACGAGGCTGTCCGAGGATTAGGTGGGGTGCTTTGACTAAGGATAAAGCTCAGGAGTTGGAAGGAAGATTATCGGCAATAGGAGCTTGGAGAAGTAGTGGGGACACAAACACTATGTGGTCGACGACGGCTGATTGTATAAGGAAGGCAGCGAGAGAGGTGTTAGGGATATCTTCAGGATGCACCGGTCGGCACAAAGGAGACTGGTGGTGGAATGCAGTTGTCCAAGATAAAGTGGAAGCGAAGAAGGCAGCATACCTGCGGTTCGTAGGGAGCTCTGGAGAGGAGGAGAAGAGAGCGAACAGTGAGAGATATAAGGTAGCTAGGAAGGAGGCGAAGATGGCAGTAATGGAGGCTAAGACAGCATCTTTTGCTCGTCTGTATGAGGAACTAGGGAACAAAGGAGGGGAGAAGAAGTTATTCCAACTTGCTAACGTGAGAGAGAGGAAGGCTCGGGATCTGGACCAAGTGAGGTGCATAAAAGATGATGACGGCAAAGTTTTGATGGGGGATGACCAGATTAAGAGGAGATGGCAGAGCTACTTTCATAAACTTCTAAATGAAGAAGGGGATCAGGATATTGTGCTAGGTGAATTGAGGAATGCCAACAGCCCCCATGAATTAAGTTATTGTAGGGATATTGAGGTCGACGAGGTCATGCAGGCAATGCGTAAGATGATGAGGGGCAGAGCTATCGGGCCAGACGAAATCCTGGTTGAACTTTGGAAGTGTATGGGTAGAGCAGGCTTGGAATGACTTACTGGGTTGTTTAATGCTATATTCAAGACTAATAAGATGCCTGAAGAGTGGAGGTAGAGTACGATGGTTCCGCTGTATGAGAACAAAGGCGATGTGCAGAGTTGTAACAACTATAGGGGTATCAAATTACTGAGTCATACCATGAAAGTCTGGGAGAGAGTGGTAGAAATGAGAGTGCGAAGGATGGTGTCAATTTCAGATAACCAGTACGGGTTCATGTCGGGGCGATCTACCACAGAAGCTATCCACCTTATTAGGAGGAGGATGGAACAATATAGGGATAAGATGAAGGATCTCCACATGGTGTTTATCGATCTAGAGAAAGCGTACGACATGGTTCCTAGGGAGGTCCTATGGAGATGCCTAGAGGTTAAAGGGGTCCCGATTCACTACATTAGGGCGATTAAAGACATGTATGATGGATCTAAGACTTAGGTTAGGACAGTAGGAGGCGACTCCGACCATTTTTCGATTGTTACGGGGTTGCACCAAGGGTCTGCGTTCAGCCCTTTCCTATTTGCCCTGGTGATGGATGCCATAACGCATCATATTCAAGGGGATGTGCCATGGTGCATACTATTTGCGAATGACATAGTCCTAATTGACGAAACACGACACGGAGTCAACAAGAGGCTAGAGGTTTGGAGACATGCCCTTGAGTCTAAAGGTTTCAGGCTGAGCAGAACGAAGACGGAATACCTCGAGTGCAAATTTGGGGCCGAGCCGACGGAAGCAGGAGTGGAAGTGAGGCTCGA